TATAGACTCCCTTTGTGTCCCGTGTTCCCTTCTAGCTATGGTTGTCAAATGAATGTAGATTCGTTAACCCTTCGGCGAGCTACTTGGAGAGGGGTTGCGAGCTACTGGTAGCTCGCGAGCGACGTGTTTGAGACCCCTGCTCTAAACTGTCCCGCTGTGTGTAATCTGTCTTGGTGTCGGTAATCTTTCTCAGTGTCTGTAGTCTGTCCCGGTGCCCTGTAATCTGTCCCTGTGTCTGTATGCTCTACTGGTGTCTAATCTGTCCTTGTCACTTTTGTTTGAAAGCACTACTTTCAAACCAGTATGAATGCATACACGCAGTATTAATGGAAACAAATGAAATTGATACAATGCTTTATTTGCCATCTGCAAATACATTTGACATTGGAATGTTTCTTTTCACATACCTGTGCTCTCCTTTGAGGACACACACACACAGACACACACACACACACACACACAAGCAAGCTTGGGGGTCAGAGCATAGGGTCAGCCCACTTATCCCACGTCTGGAGCCTTTCAGGGGGTTAAGGGCCTTGCCCAAGGGCCCAACAGAGATGTGACTATCCTGCAGAAACCAGGGCTCAAAGCGGCAACCTTCTGATCACAGGCACAGAGGCCAAATTAACCCTCTGAGCCAAACACTGCCGGCCCACCCTGAAAAGGTAGAGTCGCCCTTGCATATTAGTGGTCACCCCCCAACTCAAACCAATCGAATTATGCTCCAGATTTTTTAGGGCCCCTGGAACTGTCCTAACCACCCCAAGCACCATCGTTGGAACAATTTAACAACTGTAAACGAGTTTCCGATGCTGCTGCTTAAAGCGATTGTGTTCTTATTCACGCTGAGTTGTACGTAGTTAAGTGCAAAGAAAACTTAATATTAGACAGTGATGGATCAAGCGTAATAAACAGAAACCCGGTATCATCCAGCATATTTTACTCCGGTGGATTCATTTCGTGTCTCCAAATAAATAAATTTTAAAAATCCTCCTTAGTGTTTTGTTAAGACTAACACTGTATTCATAAAGGCTGCACGGACACAAGCCTTAAACATAAACCCACTTGTTTTAACACCACACCTGAGCACTGAACAAACTTCAGAGGAAAAAAGAATATATGATAATACAGAATCTATCCCAAATGGTAAAATCGAATGTTAGCAAACACTGTATCAATTAAAATACACAATCGTCACTTTACCATCAGTTCCACTCAGGGCTGGACTGGGACAAAAAAAGGGCCCTGGCATTTTTGCTCAGACCGGCCCACCACAATCGGTCGGACACAACCAACAAGTACACCATCCTTGCGGTCCCTGTAGATATGCATATCTACTGTTCCATTCCCAAAAACCCCTACAAAGCTCTCCTGCTCACTCTGTCCCTCCTTGACTTCACTGTCCGACACCTGCTCCTCTGCCTGGGTGCCGCCACGGCTAGTCACCTCTCCTCCATGTGCTATGTTCACCTGTCTTTGCAAAGTGTCGTCAGGTACTGTTGGCTTGGAAACTGAAGCTACAGCACTAAACATGTCGGTTATTTTTGCACATGTTGAGGCATCAACCTCTAGATTTTTTATTTTTTTGGCCCGCAACTTCTCCGCACCCACCTTACCCTTGCGCTTTTGCTTCTCCATCCTAAATCCACTGATTTCTGGCTCTGAGCCACTGACTGCATCTGACACAAGAAACAGAGGGGGAGGGGTGGAGCCTGTTAAGAGATGATTAGGCCAGCCCAGTGTCAGTATGGAAAATGAACCAATGGGCCGCTGTCCCTGCTTTATGGGCCGGTCGTTTTGCCAATTAAAAAACAAAAATCATATTATATCGACCAGCCCCCAAGTGCGTCGGCCCACCAGGCATTTGCCCGGTATGCCAGATTACCAGTCCAGCCCTGGTTCCACTTCACATAATGTCATACCAATTAAAAGCATTTTTAACAAAAGGGCTACCAACTTTAGTCAGCTGGCTGTAGTGAGATTTTCAATTCGAGACAGTCTGCACACGCATTTACATGTATGTAACAGTTTTATTACCTTGTAAATAGTCTGTGGGGTTTTCAAACTTCATGTACATAATTTTACATTTATAATGGAATAATATAAATTCGCCGTAAGATTTCTTGCGTGAGCGTGACGACCTGAAAGCGTGAGTGTCACGCAAGATGCGTGCGAGTTTGCAGCCCTGTAACGCCGAAGCAATACAGCTTCTCCTTCCCTTCCGCGTGCGTCATTTATGTCATTTTCTTCCCCTGGATAACATCACTGACAGGTGAGGTCTGCGGGTCCCAGGTGAGATCTGCAGCCCCGCGCAGCGCTCGGATCGCGGAAGCGCCGCCCAGCGCGGTCCGGCCCCCAGGCGGAGCTGCCTAAACGGGCTGAGCCGATATCGAAAGTGGAAACGCCACCGAGCCGAACCGAAGCAGCGCCGGACACTCATGGCTGACTCAGGGAAGGACGATGTCCGAGGTAAATGGGCTCTTTATCTGATATGCTGGCCACCTAAAAGTAACCCGGGTAAAAAAAGCGTAACCTTACAGCCGACGCGCCGTGTGTTGCCTGTGCTCTGCATTATTAACTATGAACTATCATATGAAACATTTAACAGACTGCAAGTCCTCGGCGATTAACGCCAGACTGAGTGTTTAATGTGAGACTGCGGGTAAGCCTTGTAGCAATCAAGACAGCCGCGAATGGCATTTACAGACAATGAAATCTTCCATTAGTCGTAAAATACCGGTTTAAAAGTAATAAACGTGGCACTTGAGTAGCGTTATATATGAGTTCGGACTTTTATACCGTTTTACAGTTCTGTACTACTGTACTGTACTGTATTGTATTAGTAACGTGGTCAAAGGTGGATTGCATTTCCTGCTCAGTGCATGTGAGTTAAACTCAAAGGGAAGCACCTGATTTTGCATTTCCTTTGAATTAACATTTACATCAGGTCATTTATGTGACCTGGTTCACTATAAAATTATTAAGAATCAAACTGACGTTGCAGCATACGGCGTGGAAGCCTGGTGGAGGCGAAAGTGAGGTCAGGGGCGTCCCTAGGAAACCAAGGCGATCGGGCTTAGAGACCAGCGGTCGTGTTACTTGAATCGGACTTTTTATCTTTGGTAAATGCACAGAAACTCACCTCTAGCAAAGTCAGCTACCGAAAACTCACCTCTAGCAAAGTCAGCTACCGAAAACTCACCTCTAGCAAAGTCAGCTACCGAGTCAACATTCTTGGGCTGTAAGCAGAGGTGTCACTTAAGTGTTTTTGCCTCTAGCCAACTGGGCTACTAGCCAAGATCATTTTTACTAGTCCACAATGTAATTTTCAAGCGTAAAGAGCATTCCTGGTAGTATCACACCTAACAATAATAAATTTCCATGTAAAAAGATTATTTTCAGTATATCATTTATTCTTTCCATACTCAATACATTCATTCAGTGCAGCTCACTGCAGCGTGGTTGGTACACAGCTGATCTCAGTTTGTCGTTCTCACAACCTCCTTTTTAAGTCTGTATTTGGACGCTACCATGACACATTAAATCTAGTTAGTTTTTCAGTTTCAGTTTTTTAAAAAAAAAAAGCAAGTCAGTTACATACTTTGGAGATTAATCACATGTACAGTCATGTTGCAATATATATAAAAACCTTTATAGTCTGTATATGCTGTATATGATTGGTTTATTCCAAGAGGTGCTCTCGATATATAGACCAGATGCTGCCAACAGAATGTTTCGATTTTCCCTGCAAATTCTGCCCAGACTCCCAAAGTCACGGCTGAAGCTGTTGCGTTGTTTGCTACCAGGAGGAAATACTGTACTTCTCTATTAAAAATCTTTGTTCATAGTATCCTCCCATTTTGGCATCAAAATACTGCATGCATTAGCGCAAATTAGTAAGACTGATAGCACTACTGTGGCGATGGGCAATGCTGCCCTGGTCTGGGAGCGATGTCCTTTGGGGAATTCCCACAGGGACGTACAGCATGGCTGTTAAACACGTCAGCTGGCTGAAATCATTTGGGGCTTGTTGGGATTTGTTCGGGCCTAGTGCTGTGCGTGGGGAAGGGGGGGGGGTAATGATATGGTCAGGGTGGGCATGAAAGCGTCTGTCCTTTTATTTGTTTATTGACTGCATAGAGGAGCCTGAGGAAGGGTCTTTAAAAGTCAGACACTTCAGAGTCATAATTATTGTCCCATCTCTCTTTTCAGGATCCGTTGAAAAAGACAGCAAACCAGAAGGTAAGACGTGCCCTCCTCCTATTGTCACTGACCTAAGATCCCAGTGACAGTGAGGTAGTTCCTGGTCCTGAAGCTGGGATGGGTCCCTCTGCTCAGGCTTTCAGGGTGACTCACGGTGACTCACAGTGACTCACAGTGACTCTTGGGGTGCTTTTCCGCTGCACCAGGTCCGTGCTTTTAGTATTTTGCCTTTTCCATTCACTTCCGGTCGAGTTCCAGTACCTAAAGAACCAAACCAGCTGGGGTACTTCTTTGGTACTTTGGGGTGGGACTTGCAGATGTTTTCCTTGTGAATTGGTTATGCAAACAGCCTGCCTCTGAAACACAATAAAACCATCTTTAAAAAGTTGCAAACTAAGAAAACAATGATAAACAAAGTAAAAATAAAAGTAATAATAATGAATGTAAGGACAAATGAAGAGACCCAGGCTTTAATTGCAACCTGATTATAAGAACACCTTGCCTCTTAACAGAAAACACTGGTTTTAATTAATGCAGTGATGTCATATGATGAAGACTGTGATTGGTTGAATAAGTGAAACACTAGCCTCTCCCTTTTTACCCAGGGAATCTATCTCTGCAAAATCATAACGTGTGGGAAAACCAACACAAAGAAGTACCACGGTTTTGGTACTGTTTTGATCGCCCTTGGCGATTCCTTATGCCGTCCTGAGTTAGGCAGTGTGTGTCTGTTTTGCAGGAACCGGCCCTGCTGGTTTTGCTTCACACCTTCTCCTTGTTTTAGCACATTTGAAAGTATGAAGGAAAAAAACATTAATTTCTTTTTCTAGCTGAAAGCAAGAACATCTGTGAAACTGATGCCTTTCCTGGCCAGTAAGACCCTCCTTAAATCTAATTCATATGCATATATAGCTGAGTATGTGTACATGCTACTTAGTCATACGTTTGCAGTGACTTGTAAGGGGTACAGCCTCTTGGGTTTCCTTGTGTATATCTTTGCGAATCTGGAGCTGCAATTCACGACATTCCAAGCTGCTGTGGCTGTGCTCGGAATGGTTAAGCCCCCCCCCCTCTCTGCAGACACAGCGTCAGCATGGACCCTGCTGAGGAGTACCAGATGAATCACCGCAAGAGGGGGCGAGCCCTCATCTTCAACCAGGAGTGGTTTTTCTGGCAGTTGCGTCTGCCTGACCGTGCTGGTACCAACGCTGACAAGGTCAACCTGGTCAAAAGGTATGCCCCCCCCCCAGAGCAGGACAATAAGCTTTTAATAAAAACTACCCAAAGTCAAACTTTTACTTTTTGACTTTAATTTTTGCAATTTCAGGTTTACAGAACTGGGATTTGATGCAAAGGCTTACGATAACCTCAAAGTGGCAGATGTTATGAATATTCTTCAGGAAGGTGCAGTGGAATTTATTACCCTGTTAAAATAATATAAATATGTTAAGATGTCAGACGGCTGCCATTTCTCTTCATGTGAAACAACTAGGGCAGTAATGGTACACATCCCACTCGTGATGTCATTTTCGGTTCGGTACGCACAAAGAAACAAATAGGGCAGTGATGGTACACATCCCGCTCGGGATGTCATTTTCGGTTCGGTACGCACAAAGAAACAAATAGGGCAGTGACGGTACACATCCCACTCGGGATGTCATTTTCGGTTCGGTACGCACAATGAAACAAATACATTTCTTGATATAGGCAGAAACTAAATTCACAAACAGATGTTCCACACGGAAAACATTATGTTAGTTGTGGCTGAGAGTTGGTTATGGCTAATGCTGGTCAGACAGTCATAATTGGCAGTTTGGGAATATGGTAGTTTCTCAATAAATTATACCAACACCAGAGAGAGAGTCATCGTTAAGACCAAATCTGTCTGTCAGCTGTGTCGTACCCAACTTGAATATGTTGCTGGAAATACATCCAACTTGTTAACTCCGTTGAGACGACATCGTCCTAGTCTGTGTGATCGGAGTCAGGCAGAAACAGCCTCTCAATTCAGTTTCCCTGTAGTATTTGAGCCGCTTTTGCCAGGAAATTCTGACTGGGCTAAAACAACAGCTATAGGCTCCAGGAGTGTTTATCGCGACGGATATGCGACCATACTCAGTAGTAGAGATCATTTGAATTAGTTTATTAATTTCTAAACAACTTGTTTTGCCTGCTGTACTGAAATTGCAGCTAACTGTGAATCCAAAACCGAGGTTTGGACTGAACTGTGATTTTCATGTACAGTTGCACCCCTAGAAACAAGTGTTCTTTATTTTATTGTAAAGATTTCAGACGCCCATGACATTTGGCTGGGATGTCAGCCATATTGGTTACTGTGCAGCCCTTTTCAGCGAATACATTTGTAACGGCCAAATCTTAATTCTCAGCTGCACGAGCCAACCATGTTGACTCGGACGGCTTCGTCTGTGTGTTCCTGAGCCATGGCGAGAATGACCACATCTTTGCGTACGACGGCCAGATCTCCATTCGGGACATCACCGCCCTCTTCAAGGGGGACCAGTGCAAGAGTCTGGTGGGGAAGCCTAAAATCTTCATCATCCAGGTGAGAAGAGGTTCAGCCCAGCGACAATCTGCTTTTGCACATAGTCTCTTAATGGCATATTGGCAGGAAGGCTGGTGATGTAACCTATTTTTGATTTTTAATGATGCTCACGTGGGCAGGCATGTCGTGGTGACAAGCATGACGACCCAGTAACCGCTATGGACGAGGTGGACCAGCCCAACCAGGTGGTGGTGGACGCTGGCGTCTTCTACACCCTCCCAGCTGGAGCCGACTTCCTGATGTGCTACTCGGTGGCTGAAGGTGAGTGATGAAGAGCATCTGTGTGTCCTGCAGGACATAACAGCCTTCTGTAAACATCTCTTTGGGGACACTTTTAAGAGATGCCCCATTTTCACTCCCTGCTTCCTTCAAAGGGTACTACTCACACCGGGAGACCATCAATGGCTCCTGGTACATCCAGGACCTCTGTGACCTGCTTCGGGAACACGGCAAGTCGGTGGAGTTCACCGACCTCCTGACGCTGGTGAACAGGAAGGTGTCGATGCGCAGCGTGGGACGGTGTGCCGACCACAATGCCATCGGCAAGAAGCAGGTGCCCTGCTTCTGCTCCATGCTGACGAAGAAGCTCTACTTCAGGCACAAGAAAGTCTAAGCTCAGCCGGGGGGGCGCTTTGAGCTGTGCGGGGGCCCTTGGTCAGTCAGTGAGGCCTTTGATCAATGAGCCATGCTTCCAGTGCTTGATGATATCATGATTTTGTAGTGTATGATTTTGTATGAGAGCAACCGGTTTGTGACTTTATTAATAAGTTTGAATAATTTTAGTGATGCATTTTGCTGTTTATTTGTGAGCATACGTTTTCCAAATACGCATATCCAGTTCAGAATCAGATCCTGTTGGTTTGGGCGTGAGACGTTAAGCCAGGTGCATAGCAGTGGTGATAACCAACGGTGAGGGACATATTCACCATTCCAGTTAGTCCAAAAACGTCCCTTTCTCTTTGTTAGTGTAGAAATTCAAATATGCGTACTGGAATCCTAGCAGGAAAAACCTGCCTGTCAGGTGAATGTCTGAGTGCATGAAGCATCTATTTAGAAAGAGGAGGACAGCATTAACAAAGATCGATTATGTTTTATGTCTACGCCCTTGATTAAGAGGAAAATATTCACTCTGAGATGGGATAAGTGTTTTTTGTGCATCTGAAAGATGGTTATTCTGACTATATTCACTGGGAGAACGTCACAGGCTGCTGCAGTGACATGTAACCAATGTCATTTCTGAGTCCGCTGCCTGGAGCTCTTCTCTTAGAGGATCCTGTGTAGTGGGTGAAAGTTAGCCGGGAAAAGCTAGCGTGTGAACGTTAGCCGGGGAAAGCTAGCGCGTGAACGTTAGCCGGGGAAAGCTAGCGCGTGAACGTTAGCCTTGGAAAAGCTAGCGCGTGAACGTTAGCCTGGGAAAAGCTAGCGCGTGAACGTTAGCCTGGGAAAAGCTAGCGTGTGAACGTTAGCCGGGAAAAGCTAGCGTGTGAACGTTAGCCGGGGAAAGCTAGCGTGTGAACGTTAGCTGGTGAAAACTAGCTCCTCTCTGGCAGTTTGCTCACTTTAGCATCAAACTGATGCTGCATCAGGACATCTGGCTTAGACACCCATTTTCACCCTGGTGTTATTGAGCTTAGCCTCAAGCAGCCATCGTGCTCTCACTGTAAACACGCAAGTCTGTATGCATCGTATATCTTAAAAACTTTCCACTTAGCTTATCTTTAGATGTTCGGTCGACATTCTCTTTGGGATTCTCTGGACCTACAGCTGGATTCCTGTATCTTGGTGCTTTTCGAGCTTCATGAAGAGGCCTCCTGACTAGAGGGTGCAGTCCGCATTGAATGTGGCTATTGGACTGTTTATTTTCAAAACTTTGTACTTGATTTGTAATAACTACCGTTTATTCTGGAAATTTTATATGGGTGTATAAAGGGATTGATTAGAACTAAGGGATTGGTTTTTTACACTAATGCTTTTGTATGATCCAGTTTCAAAATAAAAAGTGTGAATTTTCAATAAGATGGTGTAAAGTTTTGTTCCAAATATGGGAATAGTGGGTTTGTTAGACACCTCGTGGGCCAGCAGGTCCGATTTCTCAGGACCGGGATACGGAGCACCCTGATACTTGGTGTGTATGGCCTCTGGGCCCTGCACCTACTGTAAAGAGCCGTTTCTGCACATCATGGAACCAGCCCAAAGTCTTTCCACATCACCCGGCTCGTGTCCGGTTTGGAGCTTGGTTTCACATGCCGTAAGATTCGGGAGGTTGCCCTGCAGGTTCTCCGGACATCCCGCCCTCGCCATTCGTCAGCCGCTCCTTCGACTCCGCCTTCCGGACCTGGCCATGCGTCTCTCGTCTTCGGAGCTGTTGGTGTCTGTGTGTTTGTGGCTGTGTGTGTATGTATGCTTGTGTATCTGTGTGTTTGTGTCTCTATCTGTGTGTGTCTGTGTATCTATCTGCATGTTTGTGTCAGTGCGTCTGTCTGTGTCTGTAAATGCGTCTGTGTCTGTATGTTTGTGTCTGTGTGTCTGTGTGTGTGTGTGTGTCTGTGTGTGTCCTCTATCCTAGAGCCATAAACCCTTCAGGGTATCAGTGATCAGTTGACTGTTGCTGTCTTTGCTGTAGTCTGGTTACAGAAAGCGCTCTGTTTAGCACCCTAATGACATTATTTATCCTAATGCAACATTAATGCAACAATGAGAAGGATCTATTCATGTCCAGAGCGTGAGCAGCTGCAGCAGGCTGGATGTGGGGTTAGGACACACAGCGCCTCACTGTGGTGGTTTCTGGACAGTGCTGAGAATAAGAGCTCACTTTCCCAGTGCAGGATCTGAAAGGATTCCTGAGCATGTGAATGTGCTGCTTGCTCTCTGCTATGATATTTACATGCCTCTGTAAATGCATTCTCTCATTTTGAAACCTTAAAAAGTGTTAACGGGCTCTAACCAAATCGCTGGCTTTCATCAAGTCACTAGATCACCTAAAAATAATCAGTCATGTCACATATCTAAACAGATCCTTGGGTAGATTTGAGAAACTGTGAGGTAAATTTTTTTTAATGAGCAGTTATTTCCCCAGCTCCTTGGTCACAGTTATGAATATTGACATTGATATTATGAAATTAATTTTACTTACACACAATGTAATATTTTTCTGTCATATTTATTCCCGTAAAATGATCAGAATTAATTTTATTGACCGAGTAAGGTCATACTTCCAAGGAATATGACTTGACATTTGCCTCAAGAACAATGCAGACAAAACAATAAACATTAAAGGTGAACGCATGAAGTATGAAGTAATAATATTGTGAATGTTATCCTAGGAATATATATATCCTAGATATCTACACAAACTAGCTCCAACCAAAGTGAGATTAATTAGCGAGATCCCTGAATGGTTGTGCAGCCTACAGTACGCATCACGATCAGCAATGTACACCGCACCAAGTGCGTAACATAATGGCTATGAATGAGAGTTTCACGGTGTGACTGAAGTAAAGCGTTCTTAGCCAGCAGGGCTATGCAGAAGGGTATTACTGCTGCTCATTCTGCAAGTGGCAGCATGTATGTCCCTGCGGGGCAGATCCGTACCCTGTGTCACCGACTCCTATACCTGAACGCTTACCGCTGAACTGTTTAGTGGGAAAATGACAGAAACAGATTATTTATTGCCATTTTGTGTTTCCACAAATAAATCCAGGAAACATTTAAGCTTTTTTTGTTGTTGTTGTATTTACTTACTTACTTATTTACTTAATTGCTTGCTTACTTCTTGGTGCTCTAATTACCGTTGCTTTTTTCTCCTCGCAGAGCATCTATGCTGCCCTCTAGTGGGCGGATCAACCCCACACAGATTTACAGTATATAAATTAGATAGACGTCATTGATCTCAGTGGGTAATTGTGCTGCATACAGCTGTCAGAAGCACAGATGAACATACATATAATGCCAAACAGACAAGACACAAAGACAATAGGCCTACATATAGTGCAAACAAAGTACAACATAGCATGGTATGCAACTAGAAATTAATAAATATTTAAAGAGAAGAATAATAATTATTTGCAAATGAATATTGTGAGCAGACAGAAGGCTTCCTGATGTACATGTATTATGGTTGTGGATGGGGAGAGGCTCGCCAGGAGGAGGCGCTCTAGCGTTTTCTAGCCCGCGATTGCGCAGTCAGAGCGGAGGTTGAGTTCGTGTCTCCCTCTGTCATCAGCTGAGCTCTGCGAGCTTGGCGATTTTGACTATGACAAATGACTGGAATGATACAGAAATTACATTTATGACAGTTCACTGGAAGAAAAATTTATACCATGGTTACGCCCTTGACCATATGCACATTGTTTTTTGCATGTTTCTCCAGGACAGTGTCCATTGAGCACTATTTGCCCACTAGCTGTCAGTGTGAAGAAGGGTCTCGTACATTTCGAAAGGTCGAAACTTTTTCCGAATCCATTGTTTCGAACTCTCAGGAGCGCACATTTATGCGGTCAGGTATTGGATTGGGTCGGGGTTGGAGCACAGGGCACTGCGTGACGGCACCGCTTGGCTGTCAGTCTGTATTTGTGGCGAACTGTTAAAAAGCAAGAGATTAAGGAGTTGCAGGAGGCAAAGGATTAGTTTAAGTCGCTGAAGCTTTGGTGGCATTCTCGTTTATTTTCTGTCTTTATACTAAATTAACATGACATTCTCACTCTCACCAGCAAGTCAAGAACACCACTGTATCCTCAGATGCAAAGCTCTTGATCCGCAAACCCCTGAATTTTAATCCTCTCCCCTATCTGCGGCAGATTAACCAGAATTATGTGCATAACATGACGAAAAACTGCCATTTAACACGGCAAAATTCGGCTCCACAACAGCAGGGGGCGATAAAGCAGCAGGACGGAGCTAATTTCTCTCCAGTTCAAACTCTGAATTCCAGTTTTGTCATTTTGTCAGCGTAAGCCAGGGATTTAAATAGACACTGATCTGCATGTATTAAATTCTGGTCTTACAATAATAAAGCCAAATACAACATTGGTTACTAATTATTCCGCAGTAAATGTGTGTTCGTTTAATATTTTAAAACCACTCCATCAAGATTTCTTAAAGAGACCACTGACTCCACTGTACATTTCACAGTATTGCTTGTCTGCATGGCTGACTTACGCCGCCACATTCTGGTGAAAAGGGCAAATTTTAATGCGACTTCAAAAAGAAAATAACTTTTCTCCAAAGACGGAGTGATACACCATGATGAAGACGTGTCAGACTCCCAAGCATTCTGTTACTGGCATAAAAAAAATAATGTATCACTGCCCTTAAACTGTACATCTACAGGCCCGTGTCTGTTTGTGGGAAAGCTACAGTACAGCATAACACAGAAAACCGCTTTACACTATAGCCATGCAAACACACAGTGTTTCAAAGAAAGATCCCACTGTAACTAAGCTACTTAGATAATCCACTCCATCCAGGCTTGGTTCCTTTCCCTGATCTGCTGGGATTTTCCTGTCTTGCAGTGTCTGTGGTCCTTGTCTTCCAGGAAGGCAGGCAGGTTCCAACTCAAAGTCCCTGTGCTAACTGTCCAACAGACTCTCTGACATCCAGCTGGCTATTTATATATCAAAGTCAGCGCAGCAGAGCACCAAGGAGACGGCGACTACGAAAAGGCCTACTTTCCAATGTTTGTAATTTCATTGGCCTGACGCCTTAGAAGTGAGCATTTCAGAAAGAATTGAACTTCATTTTGCTCACAGCTAGAGAATCCTTTAAATATGGACTGAAGAGCTATTACTTCAGTTTGTCTTAAATGCACCTTAACACATAACACATCGTAACTATGGCTGCTGGTGCTGCTGTACACGCCGTTTTTATCTAAAACCGTTAAGGTGCCAGTGTATGTTCTGGCCACACATGTTCTCTGCCTTCCCACATGTCCAGATGGTGCTCTTGGTTCCTCTCTGTTGTCATCCGGTGTTCTTTCTTTGTCTTCTTTTCCCTGTCTTTGAATAATTCTGTATAAATGATGTAGGAATGTTCTACCACACGCCTGTGTCAAGCGCCTTGGGCTGAGTCTGTTGGGAGAGGTGCTACAGTCATATGAAAAAGTTTTTGGATTTTTGTTTATCATTGGCTGAGCTTTCAAAATAGTAACTTCCTTTTAATATGTCATGCCTTACGGAAAAAGTAGTATTTCTGCAGTGACATTAAGTTTATTGGATTAACAGAAAATATGCAATATGCATCATGAAATTAGACAGGTGTATAAATTTGGTCACCCCACCAGAGATATTACATCAATACTTAGTTGAGCCTCCTTTTGCAAATACAACAGCCTCTAGACACCTATAGCCTTTGATGAGTGGCTGGATTCTGGATGGAGGTGTGTGTGACTTTTCTTCCATACAAAATCTCTCCAGTTCAGTTAAATTTTATGGCTGCTGCCCATGGACAGCCTGCTTCAAATCATCCCACAGATTTTCGATGATATTCAAGTCTGTGACGGCCATTACAGAACATTGTACTTCTCCCTCTGCATGAATGTCTTTGTAGATTTCAAACTGTGTTTTGGGTCATTGTCTTGTTGGAATATCCAACCCCTGCGTAACTTCAACTTTGTGACTGATGCTTGAACATTATCCTGAATCATTTGTTGATACTGGGTTGAATTCATCCGACCTTGGACTTTAACCAGTCCCTGAACTAGCATGATGGAACCTCCACCAAATTTGACAGTAGGTAACAGGTGTTTTTCTTGGAATGTGGTGTTCATCTTCCGCCATGCAAAGTGCTTTTTATTATGACCAAATAACTCAATTTTTGTCCCAAAGCACTTTTTTCCCAAAATGAATCTGGCTTGTCTAAATGAGCTTTTGCAGAAAGGGCTTCTTTCTCATAACCTTGCCATTCAGATGTTCTTTGTGCAAAGTACTGATGTACAGATATACCATCTGCAGCAAGATGTTCCTGCAGATCTTTGGAGATGATCTGTGGGTTTTCTGTAACAATTCTCACAATCCTGTAGC